CAGAATTCCACAGGGCCTGTTCTCAGGTTCTTGCCTCCCTATTTTTTTTCCCCTTGGGGCATAAGGCACGGCACCTGTCACATGAACTTCAGTTAAGAGAAGAGGGAACAGGTCAGAGGGTGAGCTTCCTTGGCTTCAGTGAAGAAGACACAAGAGGTGTTCTGGTCCCAGGAACCTGCGTGAGGGGCTGGGTAGCAGGACTTGCTTCTGTAGTTTTCTCAGCTCCTTGGTGTGATTCTCATGTTTGGGATGTTGCGTTCTGAGTGCTGACAGTAGCTGGCTTGACCAGTCCCTGGGTGGATAGGCTGGGTAACCACAGTTGCAACTCCTTACAGAGGACTTGAGGATCCTGAGCTTAAGGTCTGCCAGGGTCACCAGCAGGACCTGCCTCAAAAAGAAAGATAAAGTAAGAAATGACATAAAGGAAGCTTCTTAACAGCCCCCGTCCCACTCATCAGAGGGAAAGCTGTAGTGTGCTGAACAGATTGTACCCCTCGGGTCCCGCAGACCCAGCGGAACTCTGGCCAGATTATCCCAGGAGCCTGGCCGTCATGCCATCTGTGTGGGAAGGATTCAGAGGCACAGCGTGTGCTCAGGTCTCCCTCATGGAAGGAGCGATTGGGAGAATAGAAGATTTCTAAACTAAACATAGCACCTCAGACTGAAGGAGAAATCTAAAGTCTGTTTGTCTAAAAATAGCATTGGGTGAATTTAAGATGACTTCATGGCCTTTTATAAGATCTTTCTTCTAAATTCTTTATCTGTAAAACAGAATTCTGGAGTCCGAGCAAGGGGCTGTAGGAGAAAGTCCTGTTTCTCTAAGGGATGGGGGAAACACAACAATCAATGTATCAGAAAAATGGGATCATCATCTTTTAATCGCCTTCTAGCTGTGAATCTAAAAATAAGTTGTAGAATTACATAAATTCTGCGACTGAAAAATGTTAGCAGTGTGTCCTGAGCAGGCATTCAGCCATCCTAGTGAATGAGAAGCTGCAAGTCATCTGAAAGGAAGGAGCCTCAATTGAGAAAATGCCTCCATAAGATGGGACTGTAGGCCAGCCAGTTGGGCATTTTCTTAATTAGTGATTGATGGGGAGGGCACAACACAGCATGAGTGTTTCCATCCCTGGCCTGATGGTCCTGGGTTCTATAAGAAAGCAGACTGGCTGGGCAGTGGTGGTGGATCTCAGTGAATTCCAGGCCAGGCTGGCCAAACAGACCCTGTCTTAAAAAAAAAGGGGGGGGGGGGAGATGTTTAATCCCAGCATTTGGGAGGCAGAGCCAGGTGGATCTCTGTGAGTTCGAGGCCAGCCTGAGCTACAGAGTGAGTTCCAGGAAAGACGCAAAGCTACACAGAGAAACCCTGTCTCGAAAAAATAAAAGAAAAACAAAACAAAACAAAAAAAGAAAGCAGACTGAGCAAGCCACAAGGAGCAAGCCAGTAAGCAGCACCCCTCCATGGCTTCTACATCTGCTCCTGCCTCCAGCTTTCTGCCCTGCTTCAGTTTCTGCCCTCACTGCTTTGGATAATGAATTGTTATATGGACCTGCGAGTGAAATAAACCCATTGTTCCCCAAGTTGCTTTTGATTGTGGTTTGTTTTTTTTTTTAATCACAGCAACAATAATCCTAATTAAGACAATACCTGTGTCAGATTGGGAAGCTGCATATAGCAAGATTGGAATTGATGGTTTAAAGCCTGATAGCTGTTCAGAATGGCAGTGACTGTCAGCACTTCCAACCCGAATACATGTCCTTATCTCTGCAAAGGCTGGTGATAAAGTTTTCCTTCTTGGCAGTCTGTTAATGTGCTTTATTTTAATAACCTCATTTACTTAATGTCTCATTTGTTATTTGGATAATCATTTATTTGGGTAGATGGCAGTGGAGATAGGACTCAGGGCCTCATGCATAATAGGTTCCACTCCTGGTCTACAAACCCTGCCCTGGATAGTCCACTTAATTTGCAATTCTAAACTTACTGGTAAATTTGACCATTTCCTCACATACCTGAGCCTTTTGAGCTTTTGTGTTGAAGCTAGAGGTCTTTTCTGCTTTATCTGTATAACTTCTATTTATTAAATCTTTGGTAACAAATCTTCTCCGTTATTTTTTTCTGCCTGTGGATATAGTGTCAGAAAGTATCCTGTTTTACCACCTATTTGTTTGTTTATTTATTGGTTTTTCGAGACAGCATTTCTCTGTGTAGCCTGTTCTGGAACTCATTATGTAGACCTGGCTGGCCCCCAACCCAGAGATCACTTGCCTTTGCCTCTCAGGTTCTTGGGTTAAAAAGGTGTGCGCCAACACAGCCCCTTTATTTTTAATCTTAAAAATGCATGGCTATCTTTATCTATTAACATCATCTTTGAACTCTGTCCTTTAGGATCCTGCTATGGTGATTTTCCGAGAGAGATGTCCTGACTTTTGACTGTTGAGATTCCTGGGATTTATCTGTCTTCCAAATATGTTCTTAGTTTGAATCATATTAAATTGTTTCATGGTGTCTAGGAAGCAGAGAGTTTGCTTTTATAACACACACCCCTTCCCCGAAGTTCCTTAAACTGTGAATCCATAATGGATTATTTCACTGATTCAGTCAGAGCCATTATGATCCTCTCAGTCCCCAGGCCCTGGCCCAGCCCCATTACAGAACCAAGTCTTTATGCAGAAGCCATGAGGACATTTCAGACCTAAACCACAAACTGGCAATTACATAACAAGTTTCATAAGAGAGCCATCTTTTTTCCTTGCTGAATCTCTTGTCTGTTAGGGGAGGGAGAAATCTGAGTATGCCAGGCATGAGTGTTATACCCGTCACTCCTGTCATTTGGGAGATCAGACAGGAGGGCCAGAAGTTCAAGGTCATCCTCAGCTACATACTGAATGTGCAGCCAGCATGGGCTATATGAAATCCTGCCTCAATAAAGAAAAGCAGCAGCAAAATAAAATTATACCAGCCACAAAAACTGATACGACATCCAGACCAGGGGTGAGGGGGCAGGGGTGCTCAGTAGGTAAAGTGCTCGCTGTGGAAGAGAGAGGACCTGAGTTGGGATCTCCAGCACAGAAGCAGGTCTGAAACTCCAGCACTGGAGCAGAGACAAGATGAGCCCTGGAGTCACTGGCTGCCCAGCCTTATCAATCAATGATCCTCGGATTCAATATGCCATCTCTTCAGCCCTAAAAATGACACGCACATGTATATTATACATCTTGACTGTTTGTTTGTGTTTTCTGGTTTGTTTTGTTTTATTTTGTTTTTTTGAGGCAGGGCCTTGATATGTAGCCTAGGCTGGCATTGAACTGACAATCCCCCTGCCTCAGCTTCCTACATGCTGGGCCTAAAAGCATTTTCTGTCACATCCAGCTTTGTCATATGCATGTTTACATCTGCCAGCATGTAATTTGTACCACCGTGATCTGTAGCCATTCTCATCTAAGCAAGCTTGTCTGCATCTATTTTCCCTGTTTCCTTCTGTAATTTACTTCCTGAGCTGGCGCTCTGTGGGATTCAAGACCAGCTTCGAGCAGTATTGTCTCCTATTGATGTACTGGTGTGGTTTTGTTGTACGGAACCAGCACAAGTGAAAAGTGGCCCAACCGGGAGCTGAGCTAGGTGGTTTAGACCATAGTGTAGACGTGACAAGGCTCCTTAGCTTGCTTTCTGTTGCTGTGATAACACACTGACCAACAGCAGCTTGAGGGGGAAAGGGTTCATTTATTTCAGCATATTGTTCATAGTCCATCATGAAGGAAAGTCAGGGAAGGAGCTGAAGCAGAAACCATGGAGGAACACTGATTACTGGCTTGCTCCTCAAGGGATAAGCAGCCTGCTTCCTCATACAACCCCAGAACACCTGCCTGGGGCTGGCATCACACACTTGGGCTGGCCTTCCTTTCCCAATCATCAATCAAGAAAAGGCACCACAGACTTGCCTATAAGCCAGTCTGATGGGACCATTCTCTCAATCAAGGTCCCCTCTTCCCGCTTGATGCTGTCATGTGTCATGTTGACAAAATATTAGCCAGCACACAGGTGAGGTAGAAGCTGGAAAGAGAGAACTGATAAACACATATAAACCATGACTATTAGGACCTTCAACACCATGAAGGAGAAGTAGAACCCCATAGAGATAAAACATCACATTGATTGATGGATGTGTGGGTGTTTATGGATGGCTTTTAGATCTGACAGCTAAACGGATATCCTTAATTCCTCTTCCTTTTACTTGATCCTTTTTTTTTGTTTGTTTTGTTTTTGTTTTTCAAGACAGGGGTTTCCCTGTGTAGCTTTGTGCCTTTCCTGGAACTCACTTGGTAGCCCAGGCTGGCCTCGAACTCACAGAGATCCACCTGGCTCTGCCTCCCGAGTGCTGGGATTAAAGACGTGCGCCACCACCGCCCGGCTACTTGATCCAATTTAACTTTATGCTGTTTCTATATTTTCAAGAGTGCATTATAGGGTATGGGCTATGGGCAAATGGAAAACCTCTTGCCAATCACACACATGACCTTGGAGTCAATCCCTAGTGTGACAAAGAAATATTTTTAAATAACTATTTTAAGCCTAATAAATTGTTGATTTTCTGACCAAATCTTAAGTCCACGAGAGTAGGAACAATAACAGTTTGGTTCAATATTTCATCTCTAAAACCAAATACTTTTTTCATACTTCACTTTAGTAAATTTTCTAAATCTTGTGACAAGGTGGAGGCTTGGGCCCATTATTTCCCCATATTTTGGTAACTATCTGTAGGAAAAACAGTCCATGAAAGGCTAAGCTAATGGGAACCAGAAGTGGGAAGTTGGGTGGGCAGTTTAAACTTATGTGGAGATAAAAATAATTGCTAACTATAGCTTACCCACAAGGTCATGAAAACCTTAAGTGATTTATTCTAAGAGAGCACTGTAGATGAACTACACTAAGTATGGAGAATGCTGACATCTCTATAATATAGACTCATGCTCTATTTTTTTTTTCATTTCTAATATAGAAAAGATCAGGCAAAGATATGCAGACCTGCCTGGAGAATTACACATTATTGAGCTGGAAAAGGATAAGAGTGGATTGGGACTCAGTCTCGCTGGCAATAAAGACAGGTCACGGATGAGCATATTTGTGGTGGGGATCAACCCAGAGGGACCTGCTGCTGCAGATGGACGGATGCGGATTGGAGATGAACTGCTAGAGGTGAGAGGCATTCATTGTCAACCTGTCCTTTGGTGCACAGACTAGGTACTGGAGGTAGCATACAGGAACGCCAACTTGGATTCTTTTCCAAATCAGTTAGAGCCTACAAAGTCTGTAGACAGCTGGGTATGATGTCACTGCCTGCAATCCCTGGGCTTGGGAGGTAGAGGCAAGAGGATCAGGAGTTCAAGACCAGCTTCTGCTACATGGTGAGCTTGAGCCATCCTTGACTATGTGAGACCTTCTGAAAGGAAAACAAAATAAACCGAGATACAAAGTCTATGGAATTTTTATTGGGAATTGGTAACAAGTCAAGGTCACATAGCTTCCTTACTTAGAGAGAGAAAGCAGGAAGTAGACTGGTCCCCAGGTAATTACTGTCTGGATGATTTCATTAGTAATCTCCAAAGGTTGTTCTGTTTTCCTAACCTTAAATCTGGTGCATTGTTTTAAATTTATAGGAATTTAATATTAGTTTTCTTCACTCATTCAGCTTACATTTTTCCAGTATTCATTAGGACAGAAGGAAATGAGCACTGATAGTGCCTTCATTCAAACAGCCTCCAGTTTAGAGAAAAGAGATAAAAAGAAACAGATATAAAGGAGGCCTTTGTATTTACAAACTGCAAAGTGTCATAAGTAACAGATAATGCACTCTTGGTCCCAGACACAGCCAGCCGTAACCCTCTTCTAACTTCTTGATTGTGTTTGTCCACTGCTGAGGCCTCATGGGAAACAGGCTCCAGCATGTGGCTTTTAGAGGAGGCCAGTCACAGGGCCCTGGCATCACACTGTCCATATGAAGCAGTGGCCTCTGAGCTTGTGTGGATGGTTTTCCCTTCAGAGTTAGAACATGCCTTATCATCTGCAGCCGATGCAAGGAGACTGTAGCATCTCCCTGCTTCTCTCCACCTGACACCTTTTCCTGCCGAGGAGCCCGTCCTGGGAGTGTGCCCTTCTTTTCTTGTTCTGTAACTCGGTGTCACAAAGAGAACCCACACCAGGGATTGGCACCAACTAGTATAATTACTAAACAAGTAAAGGTGAGATTTGACAGAATATATATATAACCATTATACTCCATGCTTCAAGTTTATTCCCTTTAGCTCCTGTTTAGAACCCCCTTGGGAGGAGACTGAAGTGATGGAGGTAAACAGTGGTGAAAAACTGTCACTGCCAAGTCTACGCACAGGACAGATTTGTCTTTGATGTTCTTAAGAGCCTTGGATAGAAATTATTTCTCTCATTTTATGCATAACAAAACTGGATTATAAATGCTTTATATTACAGAAATGAGTGTCTAAACTTGGATAAGAACTCAAGCTTAAAGGCTGGAGCGATGGTTCAGAAGTTAAGAGCATTTGCTGCTCTTACAGGGAACCTAGGTTCTGTTCCTAGCACCCACATGGTGACTCACAGCCGTCTGTAACTTCAGTTCCAGATCTGATACCCTCTTCTGACCTCCATAGGCACCAGGCACATATGTAGTTCACATCCACGTGTTCGGGCAAAATATCCCTACACATAAAAATAATTAAAAATGTTTAACAAAAAACAACTTAGACTTGGCAGACTCCAAGAGCCATGCTGTGAGCACTGATGTCACTGTGTTCCCTGTGGTACTTTAATAGACTCTGTGACTTCCTTCTCCCTCCCCCTCTCCTTCCCTACCTTCTCCCTCCACAAGTGTGCATAGGCTGAGAATCAAACCCAGTACCTTGAGCCGTGCTGGGCAGGTGCTCTACTACTGTGCTTGCATATCTGTGCCCTTGCTCCATGTCTTAACTGTTGCTGCTAGAGGCACATTGCCATAGGTCACAGTGTGAAGAAGACTTTCTTCTTTCTTCTTCTCCTCCTTTTCGCCCGTACCTCCCAACAAAAGATTTACATTGACTCATGGTTCCGGTCCTGGTTAAATAACCACACCTCCTGATGACCTTGTTGCCTGTCCAGAGGCACTCAAGGCCTCAGAGCGAAAGATGGGGAGTGCTTGAGAGACTGAGCCACACTGGACATTAGAGCAGACCAGTTCTTGTTTGTCAGTTCCATGTGTGGATTAAGGGAGTCCTGAGAGCAGAACCCTAATTCCCCATTGAATGTCTCATCTGGGCCCATATTTCCCTCTTCGTAACAGGATTTAAATTTTGACACAGTTTTCAAGAGGACAATCACTGCACTGCATTTGTTTAGATCCATGGGATTCCTGGTTTATGATGTTCAAGTCTATATGGAGTCACATCTATCAAGTCACTCTGGGTATTGGGTATGCTTAGACTCAGAGTCCCTCCTGCATGGTGGATAGAAACGTTTCAGTAATTGGAAACATGTTGATTCTCGTTGTAGCTTTTCTGCCTTATTCAGGCTCAAGGTGGAATAGCCTATGGGATCCAGCCTTACAGGAGCATTGTGCTGTATTCCTCATCGGACACTCATTAGACACTAGTAACAAATGCACTGTAGCCACAGAGTAGTGTGCCTCGTGTCTTACAGGCCAGTGTCAGAATTCAGCCGTAGATGGGCCTGAGAAGATCCAGTTTTTGCCCCAATGCTTTTGACAACTAATACAATTGCATTCCAGTGTGCTTAGCATAGTGCATGCAAGAGACCAACAGTTTTTCATCTTCCGTGTAGTCAGCAACACCAGCTGACCCCAGAAAAATAAGAGGGTTCCCTAAACAACCTGCAGTTCTTGGATGGATACCTTCCTAAATTTATTCCAATCTGGTACCTATTTACATGGAGATAGCATCTAGCTCAACAGGACACACATTACTTACCCTTCATTTCAGGTATGCCTGCCAAGCCACATATTTAAGTTCCTAATACTGCCACTTTTTGGTTTGGTGCATTTGTTAGAGCAACTCCTAGAACACAGGGAAACAGTTCACTCAGTGTGCACCTGCCTATGCAGTCTAGAGAACACTACAGAGGGCATTCATACACAGCACAATGGAAAGACAGGGTGCATAAGGGACACTGGGGGAGAGCATTCATGCTGTCTCTGGTTGTGCCACCCTCCAGGTACTCTCACACGGTCAGCAGCTTAGAAACTCCCAATCCTGTTGTTCATTAATGGGGTTTGTGTGCTTGTATGAGAGTCCCACCCCAGCCTCCTAAGTGCTGGGACTACAGCATGAATGATGAGCACACTAGCTCATGGGATTTTTAGAGTGGCTTCATTACAGACACTCAGTCTCTAGCACTTTGTTCTTCCTAGATCATGGGGGATGGGCTGTAGGTTTAACACTTTTAATCACTGCTTTATTCCGCTGATGTCCAGGCCCACCAGGAGCCCATTAAGAGTCACCTCATGGGGCTGGGCAGATTGCTCAGTAGTTAGGAACACTGGCTACCCTTCCAGAGGACCCACATTTGATTTTCCAGTACATTCATGGTGGCTCATAATAGTCTGTAACTCTGACATATTCTTCTGGCCTCAATGGGCATCAGACATGTAGATGATACACAGGCATATAAGTAAGCAAACCACTTGTACACATAAATTAAAAAGAAGAGTAACTTCAACTGGGTGGTCATGGCACCCACTTTTAATCCAATACCAGCACTCAGGAGGCAGAGGCAAGTGGATCTCTGTGAGTTCGAGACCAGCCTGGTCTACAGAGTGAGTTCCAGGACAGCCAGGACTACATAGTGAAACCCTATCTTGATAAATAAAAACAAAACAAAAAATTAGAGTACAGGTGTAGCTCAGTGATAGAGCACTTGTAAGTGTGCCCAGACCCTTAATTCCATCCCTCATTAGAACAAAAATCAGGACTGGGAGTCAGAGGCCAGATCTTAGAACAAAAGATGAACATAGCATACTGATCAACTAGAAAACTACAGAAGGATTACCTCTGTGCCAAAATCTAAGGATGGAGACCAAATCCATGTATCTTCTGATGGCATCATAATGCAGCATAGCAAAGGGTTAACTGCTATTTAATCCTATTTCCTACTTCATGCATAGAAACGTCAGGTGTTTGCTAGGCACGGGGGCAAAAAAGAATACTATAATTTACCTTGTACTTCTCCCTTTCCTTCTCTAGCCTTCTGAATCTGGTCTATTTGTTATATCTAGTCATATATTCAGTTACAGATGCAGAGATCAAGAAGATTCTATGTGGCCGTGTCAACTCCTTTTTACCCTCCCCAAAGATGCTCCATTTCTGCCAAGTGGCAACAAATAAAAATATGTTGGGACACAGATTTTATTGTCACATGCCATCTCTCTTCAGGCTCAGCTATTTCAAATCATTTAGTAAATATCTTCCTGAAACACCTAAAAATAAGCCCAAAATACATATACTTGTTTTTATGGCCTCTCCCTGAACTGAATAAAATTTCCTTTGTCTTGGTCATTTTGGGAGCACCACTGTTTGCTCGTGTTATTTCCAATTATTGCTTCATCATTGTTCTTGTTTTTAAATATTACCGCTTTGCTCACAGCCTCTCTGGGTTTATAGTTGGTATGACTTGCATCAGACCCATAAATGGTGCTGTCTTGTAGCAGGTACTGCATAGACTGGGTCCTGTTTTCACAGAGCTAGCCATGCAGTGCTAGGGCAGCATCAACCTTGGGGCAACCCTTCCTTTGGGGAAGTCGGTGATAATATGCTAAGCTAGGTGTTGCCACGGTCTCTAGCATACATTAGCTGATAGGATCAAAAACTGTCATTCTGTATTTGTGTATTTCTGTCCTTTTATTTTGTTTATATTGATACTAGTGTCTCTGAAGTCATGTCAGAGCAGTGTCTTATTCCTTGATAATTTCATGTAGCCCCTTAACAAACACCCAAATCTTAGGCAATTGTAATCCATCTTCTCTTGTAACAGTTTTGACTTTAGGTCAAGGATGACAGAAAATAAATTGATGAGGGAAAATATTCCCTGGTTCTTTTTATAGCTCAGGGGGAAAAATGCAGTCATTTCTCTTTAATATATGAAGAGTTGGAATGTGCTTGCTAGCTGAGACTAGGAAATTGATTTAATGATATATA